ATTAGTATTGATCAAGAATTAATTTGGAATTAATTTAGTGATCAAAAGAGACTAATTAAATCTATGGGGACTAATTATGGTAGTAGTTATATTTATATGTGTTGGGATTATGATCCATGTTGGACCAAGTTTATGTATGGATACATAAAGAGTTGGGCCATATGAACCATGGATCATAAAACTCATGGGTATGGATTTGGGTTATATCCATGACCCTTGAGATCCTACATATAAATATGAGTACATAGCTAAAAACGCCTACACTTGTTCTTGGAGGGCATGGAGGTGTTTTGGTGCATGGGATTCTCTCTCAAGAGTCACCTTTGTCCTAGGTGAGTTGTGATTCCATTTGAGGTGCAACACTTGGGGCACTAAGTTCTTAAAGGCCAAAGTGTTTCAAGCAACACCAAATACGTCAAGACTTCCAGCCACATAAAAGGTATGTTACACTAACTAGTATCTTGTGTAGTTTACATCTTTGCATGCTAGTTATAGGCTTAATACCTTGGAAACACCTTTACATGTATAATTAGTGAAAACATAGATCCAAGGTATTTAGGGTTATATGTGCACCATAGGATGTTGTAGTATACTAAAACCCATCATTAGGTTATTCTCGAAAAACTTAGGGAGGCGGTCAGGAAAGTCCTGTGTCTTACGAAACCCATGCCCCACAAGGTTTCGGTTAACCCAGAGCCATTGCTTCTACCAATTTTTCTTCGGAGTATCCTGTTCAGAGATCAACAGACGAATGCCCCGTCTTTTCGCTAGCGTGCGGACGCCGGAGTTCGTAGTTGAACAGAAAAAGTAACTTAAAACCCAAAAAGTGGGTATACAACCAAGAGATCGACAGATCAGTTCAAAACCTACGATCTTATTGACAGCACTTGGGGTTAACTCGTCAACGGAAAAGCCATAGTGATGCACAATCATATCGAAAAAGTCAGATGTTGGTAGACGCAACCCCGCTTCGAATAGAGGAATCGAAACCCCCACTTTCCCACGAGGACAGTAATAGATTGATGACCCCTTCGCCGGAATCATCACACCATGTTCCGGTAAGAAACCAAATCGATCTTACAGCAATTGGAATTCCTCTATGGTAGGGACTCTGCCATAACGATCCATCGTCAAGAACGGATGGATGGCAGAAAAGAAAATTCGCAAAATGCATGAGTCGATACAACGAAAGCAAGGAAAGGAGGTAAAGACGAAAGGTCTTGGGAAAAGGGGGGACTTTAAAGGCAAAACTGGCGTCACGAACCATCTCTTGACGGGTCTGACACACGCCTGAAGTCTGTTAAATGTTGGAGATAATCTCAGACATACACGTGTTAAAATATAGGCTCGAACGGCGACGCTACCAAGCCAACGCGTACACCTACAAGCCTAAGGGACTTGTTAACGTATCCGCCACGTCGTACCTCACGAGGGAATGCTCAACAGAATCAGTTATGAAGCACACGCCTCACAACCAGGTATAAAAGGACCCTTCTTCTTCGTGAGGAAGGGGACGAAACTCTTTTTCCTAAGTTTGACCCTTACTTCTCTCAGAATCAATACTTACTTGATCGTCGGAGCTTCGTCCCGGGAACCCCTCCCGGACGTCGACTAACAATCATCTTTCTCTTTTGTACTGTGATATCAGGAGAAGAAACCAGCATAATTCTCACCCTCTATTCCAATTCAACCCTCTCTAACATATCACAACAATCTCCTAACATTTAGGTCTTATTTAATTATCTTTGAATACCAAAATTCGGATTATGGTAGATTTAATAAAAGATAATTACCAAATAATAACCAAATAAATCAAGTTAGGCAAGTAAATCCGAAAATAGGATCTGACAGACCACCACATCGTGGTAAACATTACCACGTCATGGCAGTGCAAAATCATAAGGTACCACGTCATGGTGTCGGAACAGAATGACGATTCTATTATTCATCTCCTTGTTCAAGTTCATATTAGTATCGAATCAATAGAAAACTAAACCTATGCTCTGATACCACTGCTGGGTTTGAAGCATAACAAACAATCCTATGTGTGCATGCAACCCTAAATAAAATCTATGTCTTCTCTAATTGAACATACAATATAAACAACATCATGCAAACCCTACATCTATGATAAATAATCGAATTCACATAATAAAGAGTTATGATACGTACCTTTGATTGTTATGTAGTAACAACAATCCAATAACCTTGAAGATCTTGAAGCTTGAGAGCAAGTATCACAAGTGTAACACCTCTAATGAATCACAAACACACTTAGAAAGAGAATGAGATATAAGAGAGGAGGAATGAGCTTCAATTTTCAGCTACTCTTCTTAGGGTTTCATCTAGCCGAAAATACCAAGGGTGAGGCTCTTTATATAGTGAGGTAACTTAGAGCCAAAGCCAGGGTTAGAAATAGGAAACCCTAATTGCTTTGCTTAAGGACCAAGCAAACCCTAAACCTTTCATCCATAAGCCCTTGGACGAAAATTCTAGGGCTTTCCTAGAAGATTTCGTCCAAGCCTCTTTAGGAGGGTTCTAGAGCTTCTTTCCTCAACTATCAATAAATTGTCAAACAGCCCCTATACTTTTAATTAATTCATTTAATCCCAAAATTAATTTCAATTAATTTCTAATTAACTATTAATTAAATAATATGATTTCTAATTAATATATTATTTCCATAATACATTAATAAATCATTCATTTCAATTTATTAATCAAATAATAAATTCTTCCTCTTCCTCAATAGGTCATCATGTTTAGTTGCTAGTATAAAGGCAACCCAAAATGACTGTGTCACTATCAATTTAAGTATATATCAATTATAGTTATGGGCTTAGACACCTAATTCAACACATATATCTTCAAACATCGTAATGAGGATCATTTGCATATTATACAATCCTAGTTTTCTCCTATCCACGACCGTAGAAGGCAGTAATTGGATTTTCATCATTATTATTCTTTGATTCGCACATTGATGATCACGACTCATTTCTAAGGCAGTCGTATCAACAAGATGGCGTTGCTCGTCTTCAAAATGTAATATTTCATATTCTATTGGCAACGCATCATCATTGATCGAGTCACTGGATGTTGAAGAGTGAAATTAAAATATATTAAAATACGCATTAAAAACTAACTTGCTAAAATGTATCCATAACAAAGACTATTAATTTGCAACTACTCTATAATAACAGGTTTGTCTAAACTTGATCCGGTCTCATCTTTCAGAGTTTTATCTGCTTTCAATTTAAGTTTTAACTCCCTTTCTGATTTCTTTCTTAATTTTATAGGTATCTTTGGTGTTTTAATTACTTATCTATTTATTTCTAACTCAGTATCTTGGTTTTTTATCTGCAAAACAAAATTCTAACAACATTTTTATACATTACCATAAAAATAAAATAATATATTTATTAGAAATTTTGTAATTCGATTTTACCTGTATCGGACGCAATTCTGTAAGCTCCTGTAAATTGAATACAATTTTTTCGTCCGTAAAACCCACTTTTTTTAACAACATCCACACAAATTGCTCGTCAAACTAATACGGGTTATTAAACAATATCAGACAAAAAAAAACAAAAAAAAAAAAAAAACAAACAAACTATTAATGAATTTTTATTGGGGAACATCATTCCAGAATTTATCTTCATATTCCAAAGATACACTACCATTCTCGATTCCTTAGTAGACTTATTTCTTCATTAAAATACTCATCATAAACACATTTTAAGATACTTATATGGGTCTTTTATATGTAAAATTAAAAATATATATAAAAAATAGATATTTCGAACTTGTTCTTCATATTCCAGACATGATCTACGAATTCTGTAATACATATAGTTATTTGTAAATTTAAATACAAGTAACTCAAAGAATAGAACTCAACTGGTTCGATTAATCCATTGTCAAAACTCTGTCCGAAATATAGGTAGAACAACCTTCTGATTTTTCAAAATTCGGAATGCGTATTCCGGATTTTTGTATATATATATATATATATATATATATATATATATAATATATATATATATATATATATATATATATAAGGCTAAAGTAGTGGGATTGACCTGTTTTGATCCGGTTTAAAAATGATCATTTCCAACATAATGGTTAGTTTTTAAAAAATATATATATATATATATTATTATTTTTGTTAACTATAAACGAAAATGTTGTTAGATTTCTCAATTTCCCACCCAATATATGATAAAACTATGATAAAAAAAATGCAATTATACGAATATAATGGTAGCATAATTACATGCACATAGTTACACAACGCAATTTGAAAGTTGAAGATATTACAATAAAGATTATTTTTCCAATGAGTACAAGAATCCAAATTTTTATATTTGCAAGATAAATATATATCTACCATAATGATGGTCGAGTGAAGGTATCACAAAGTATGATATCAACCAAAGGGCTTGTAGCCCAGCGGTATCAGGTGGTGCCCTCCCTCTTTGAGGTCGAGGGTTCAAATCCTGTCGTGGACATAAGTGAAATAGGTGTTGTTAGCTTAGGAGTAGATTAAATTTGCCGGTTCAAAAAAAAAAGTATGATATCAAATGAAACAATCATGTCATGTTTACAACACAAGGTGACAAGTTTTTATGTAACACAACACAATTTCCAGCTTATTTATATTATACAAATATGACCCTAATTAAAACACAACAAACACTACACAAGACAACAAAGATAGTATAAAATACTCATTATTTTATTTAATTAGTATTTAATCATACAAAACACGAAAAACAAAGCAAACACATAATAATGTCATGTCAATTTTCTTGTTCTCTTTTAAACACGAATCCGAACTTTATTTTCATTCCAATTTCGTTTTGTGTCGTGTATTTTTGTCGTTTGTTGACACCCATGCAAAAAAAGACTACAATGACATACACAAGTTTACGAATTTCACATGAATACACACTAATGAGTTAAAACTAATATTTAGAATGTAGTTGAAATGAATGTGTCAAATATGCATCTTTGTTAGAAAGAAGCACACAATTATAATAAAACCAACAAATTAAAATAAAAAAAAATAGTTATACTCATGAAAGATCTAACACCAACATTATAAAAAATAAATAAATATAAAAAAACCTTCAATCGAAACAAAAAAATCATAAAACTCATAGAAACGCATCCTTCTCAAGCAGCTTCAGTACATCAGTTTGTTCATTAAGTTTGGCAACATCAATAGGTGTCTTCCCATCCATGTTCTGAAGAGTACTGAGACAACAGAAACAAGAAAAACATTTTAAAATGGCAAAATCGTAATTTGAGACAAAGGGCAAAATCGCAATTTGGAGGGTGTAAGGAGATGATGGTATGCTTACACGGAAGCACCGTTTTCAAGCAAAAGGGCAACACAGTCTTTTCGGCCATAACCAGCTGCATAATGAAGGGCGGTGTTCTTGTTTTTGTCTAAAACATTAACTTTTGCTCCTGCCTCAAGAAGGATTTGAGCACATTTCACCTTTTGATTATATAAATCATATTAGTAATTGTTTATAGTAATAACATAAATAAATAAAATATATATATTTTAAGAGCAGTAGAGTATCAATTATACCTCTCCATATCCACATGCAAAATGTAAAGCAGTTCTGCCTTCTGAATCTTCTTCATCTTTATTAGAACTCAAATCTAATGCTTTCTTCAAACCCTAGTTAACTCATACAACATAAAAATCAATTAGTTAAAAGCTGTATATTTAGGTAGTGTTTTGGAATGATGGAATCAGAGAAGGAATGGAATGCTTAATTCCATGGAAATGAAAAAAAAAAAAAAAAAAAAAAAAAAAAAAAAAAACCTTGTCATTATCGAATAATAAAAAAATAATTCAATTGAAATGATTGAATTTTTTTAAAAATAATGTTACTAAAGATTATATAAATAAAAATATTACCTCCACATCACCAACGCTAGCAGTATGATGAACAGCAGATTCATCTTCACTTACTCCTCCCGGCTCATCTCCTCCTGAATTTCCACCTGCTGCATCTCCCGGGACTGGAACACCCATTGCTGCACCCAACTTTTGTAAAACTTCTTTGTCATTCCAATACCTGATAAAACAAAGGGTAATATGGTCATTTACTTTACTCTCATTCAGACGCCCAAAAAAGATACTTTTCATCATTTATCCAATCTAGTGGTTGAGAAAAACCTCATCATTGCAGTTGGACCTCCAGATTCAATCTCTTCTAAAATAGGTTTCAAGGATGGATCTTCCTTGATTCGAGCCATTCGTTCCTCAAGCTGATCTTTTTGAGCTGGATTAGATAAGTTCTCAAGCATCTGAGACATTGATGGATCCTACCATAAAGACAATTTTTATCTTCCACTCCATCAACAAGACAACAACTTAAAACATGCTTAAGCTCTCGCTTGTTAGGATATAGCATGACAGAACAGATTGTACTGCGTTTGGCATGCATCTGACTGGAGGCTTGGACTAATGTTGCCCCACCTTAAACGATGGGCCAGGGACTCACTCTCAATCTCTCATATGTGCAAAAGACGCAAATGCCCTCCTCATTATCATCACCAAAAATAGCCCTTGAAAGCTTGCTGTCTGTGTCCCGTCCTGTGCATCAAATGCAGCCATAGGCTGCATTTGTTACATGGGACAGGCTAAACAAGTTTTCAAGAGCTATTTTTGGTGATGATAATGAGGAGGGCATTTGCGTCTTTTGTACATATGAGAGATTGAAAGTGAGTCCCTGGCCCATCGTTTTAGGTGGGGCAACATTAGTCCAAGCCTCCGGTCAGATGCATGTCAAATGCAGTACAACCTGTTATGTCATGTCGTGCATACCTGCATCAAGGCATTACCAAGGCGCTCAGCCATTGTCATGAATTGTGGATTTTGCATAACCTGCTGCATTGTGGAATAGTACTGTTGTGTATTAAACTGAGGAGAAACACCCTCTTCAGGACCATGAAAGGTCTTCTGGAGTTGAGTTGCCATCTGATTGAATGAAGGATCTTTTGCCATTTGTTCAGCTAATTCTTTGACACTTGGGTCCTGTAAAAATATACCAGAATTGTTAAGTTAAGCTACAAAATTTATGCACATGAAACATTTGTGATGTTTGGATTATGTGTAGGAATGCAAGGAAGTAGAATACATTAAGTAGACTGGCCATAGATGAGAAGTTAAAAGGACTTGCAGGAAATCCAGCTCCTGGGGTGGAGGGCATTACGGGTATTTTTCCAGATTGTGAATCCGAGGAACTTGATTCAGAGGAAGCTTTTTTCACAGCTGAATCAGCCTTCTCATCTGATAGAAGAACATATATGTGAGAAATTATGAATGCACAAAATAAATGATTGCTGCAGATTTAGAAAAATAAATCCTCGATTTCATTTTTTTGTTCATATAAATTTCCATTATTAAAGTTTCAACCCTGGTTCTCCATTAACAGAATGTTGTTAGAAAGGGCAATGATACCTTGTCTTCCTCTTCCTCCCTCGTATGCACACAGATAATCAAAAGAAAACCGTAATTTTAATTCCCACCATGAAACCAACAAAAGGAACCCTATCTTTTTCAACTCATGTAATGCCAACAAACATAGCATAGAATCAAGTTTTATGTTCATTTATATGATTCCGGAATCCTATAAAATTAGCTAAACTCAACAATCAATCAAATATTCTATAATCGTTAAGTTGCATTTATGATTTATCTCCGTCCATGAACACATTCAATCACATCAACATAAAACAGCGAAAACATACCGGTTGCAGCCGGAGGATTGATTAGCGGATCTTTCCCATTCACCTATCAAATAAAATAATCACAATTACGATATAAAAACAATCCATAACGCGAACAAAACTCATGTCAATTCCAACAAAATCATGATCCCGAACAGAGAAAACGATCAAAAATAAAGCGGATCAAACGGTGACAATGCTGATCGAATGAGGCAGCCTCAATGAGACTCAAAAACAACATTTAGCTTGAAATGAAAAGATTTACCTGAGACATGACGAGAGAAAGTGAGAAATTGTTGGATTTTGTAATGGATTGGAGATCAGTGACGGAATGATGACGAGGTTTTTGATAAAACTCGGTCGAACAGATAACAGAAAAAACGTGAAGGCGTGGGCCACAATACATCAATCCCCCAAGATGACGAAATCAATGGTACGGGATTACGCCTGCCTGTAGAAAGTGTCGGGTCCGGATCGGGTCAGTGTTCAGATAAACAATCCAGTTTTTTTTTTTTTTCCTTTTAAGGTTAGAATATTAATCATGTTGGGTCATCTTGTAGACAGCAAGGTTCGCAATGTCAGATCGATGGAAAACCATACCACCATAGATTTTCTTTGATGATCGATAAGATCATAGCAAGATCACGGGGTGTTTGGGATTATTTTTGATGTTAAAAGTCTTTGTTGTAAAAGGATTTTTTTATGTTAAAAAGTCTTTTTTGTAAAATGCATTTTTGGCCCGTGATTTTTTTCAAAAGATAGTGATTTTAAAATGTGTTTGTATTTGTTTTTAGGATAAAAGTCATCTTTTCATGTTAAAAAATCTCAAAAGTCACAAAAAGGTAGGATTTTACGACTTTTTAAACACTAACTTTTCCCCTACACGAAAAGTTATTTTAAAAGACAAAAAGTTATTTTAATTTGGAAAAGTTAAAAGGCAAAAGTTGTTTTAAAAGCAATCCCAAACATACTCTATATCATTTTAAATATTACAATTTACAACTGATATTGATTATTTTTTTAAAGGCAAAAGTTATTTTAACTTGGAAAATTTAAAAGGCAAAAGTTGTGACTTTTGAAACACTAACTTTTTGTTTATGTAAGTGTCACATGCTTGGCATTAAGTTTTTTTTTAAAAGCTTTTAATTTTTAGGATAAAACTCTAAAAATAATATTTGTAGTAAGAGTTTTTAGCTTTTATTTTGTAGAAAAAGATTAAAATCCAAAATCTACTTCAAGTCATTTTTGAGAACTTTTAACTTTTCTAATCGTTTAGTTTTTCCTTTATCTTATTTTGCACATTTAAAAATTAATAGGTACTTTTGTTAGGTTATTGGGCATGCTGGATTTTTATTTAAAAATTAGTTCAAAAAACTCAAGATTTAGCAAACGAAATACTTAAAAAATCGAATAACATAAAACTAGTTTAAACCCATCAAGAATCTTCTTACAAAACTTGGGAAGAAAACACAAAAGGAAGAAGAATATGACAATCTTTATAGCCTTTGAACCCTAAAAGCGAGACTTAAATGTTAGTGTAGAATGTGGATAAAATGTTTTCCTTAGATTGACATCAGTAATGACTCAACTTGATGTAGATGTTAGTCCAAAACCCTTAAGCTCTTAAGTTTTAAGTGCATATCAAAATATGACTTAAAGAAAGCAAATGGAAATAATCAAAACTCCAAATCTTGAATAAAAACCAGAGAGAGTGTGTAGGAGCGTGCATGTCTAACGTCTCCAAATTCCAGAATAATTTTGTTTTTATTTAAAATAAGTTGATCATTAAAACCTCTTAATTAAAATCAAAAAGTGACATTCATTTGATGAAACCATAATGTTATCAGAGTCGAATTACAAAAACATCGGAAATCAATATCTTCGATGCGTGTGTATAGTCTCGCGAACAACCTGCAAAACATTTAATCCATAATTGTAAACATAAAGCATAGTGAGTTCCCTATATACCATATATTCCACTATACATACAATGCATACAAGGAAAGTCCTTGGCTCTAGCGCCGAAAAACCAAATCTCATACCCATATACATATATCATACATAATGATACAGAACGTATGAATGCTCTGGTCCTCTATAGTCTTACAATCGTTCATTATTGCAGTCCTCCTACAGTCTTATTTGATATGATCATCACATAGTCTTACGTACGGTTGCTATGGTCCTCCCATGGTCTCTTATATAATTGCAAGGGGTCAAATCCTAGTCTTTCATACATGACATAAAGCTATATGTAGTCAGGGATCAAATAGTCAGTCGAACATATGATCCACCCAAAAGAAATAAATCAAACAAGAACCATGCAATAAGGCTTTGGACCAAGAGTTCTCAGACTATTTAATTTAACTATATATAACCAGTGTTATCATCAACCTAACCATTCATGACACCTAACAGTATCATACAATCAACATGCCAAATCCTACTAGTCTAGCATACCATGACACCAAGTGTCATACACTACACATTCATACCAAGGAGTTATCCCAGTCAACTAGCATGCACGTACTCTAAAAATAAGAATATCCTACCATACATAGTATATACAATCTCACACATGGTATAGTGAAAAGACTCACCTGAATCGCAGAACCGGTGAAACAACGCTACACTCTCAACTCCTCTTACTGATCAGACCTGTAAACCAACTATCACCAAATAAAGATCAAACCACTGGAGTGGCTAGGTTGAACTCCCTCTCTGAATACCTATATCCCATACTAATAACTCTTCTTAGATCATTTCCATATAATAGACATATTACACTTTATTTATACTTTTACTTCATAACCTTCTTGTATTATCATGGTGTACACACACCTCCTCTTTTATGATTGATTATATAAGAGTTAAACTAGACACTTTCATACATCTTTTTATTCATATATTAGGGTATGAATGATTTAAACATATTCTTGGGTTTACACACACACATACACCAAACACACGCCAAAGACACACAACCCTAAACTAAGCTTATTATTTGTTTTAAGCACTCACCCAACCAAAATTATAACACATAATGTGAGATGTGTTTTATAATAAACTTAGTTCAAAATCAAATTTCATGGACAAACAACATCATAAAAGTGTAGTCTTTTGGTTTGAGGGTTACTAGGACAAAATCAAGAAAAAGGGTGTTGCTTCTTAGCTCCAGGAACCAACACGAGACTAGATAAGCTAAGGAGGCCATGTATCAGCCATGTAAAAAAATAGATCCAAAGACTTCGAAAAGAAACAACTCTTTTAAAACCCAAAATCTTGAAATATGAGTGTGTAAGAAGTTATGAAGCCATTCCAAGTTGTTTACTTGGTTCTAGTTATCGAAACTCGTTATCAAGTGTTAAAGGGATAAGCTAGCATTTCCATAACTGATTAATAAGATCTTGGGCTTGCTAAAACCCGAATGAAACAAATCAAAATAGAAAAATCTCGCTAATAGAGAGCATACCAAAGTTTTAATGATTTTGAGGTGCTTTTCCTTAGTTCCAGATGATAACACTTGTTTTTACGTGAAAAAGGGAGTAAACAACATCAAAATACATAGGCAAATAGGTCTAAAACTCGATCATCTCAACAGAAAATGGTTTACAACAATAAATCCTGCTAACACGGTTTTCCGGCGGGTTAGGGGATGTCGGAGGCAGCTCTAGACTCCACAGTGGTAGATAAAGGTCGGGAATAATGCAGGGGAGGGAACGAAATCATCACTTGAATTGGAGAAGCTTGAACAGCCGAAAAATCGAGCTCAACAACCTCCTTCTTCCTTGAAAATCCTAGCTCGGACTCCCTTTTTCTTTCTCATTTTCTGCCGGACCGGAGCTCAAAGGAGGATAGAGACCTCACTATAACCGAAGAATATTGTGAACAAAAATAGGGGCCGTAGAACCTCACTTTTGTTGCGTAAAGTTATTTGGTTTGAGAACGATTCGTGCAGTTTTCGGTTCCACTAAAGCTCGTGATTTGAGCATTCCTTTGGATGTATTAACACATAAAGACATATATTTACAACTAAGTTATACTTTTATCATGTCTTAACTCACTTAAAACCAGTGAACTTTATGATAAAAGGAAAGAGTAAAGATCAAGAATATACCTAGCTTTTACTTGGATCTAAAGTATGTTGCCAAAAGGTGGTGGAAAACACAAGCTTTTTGAGGGAGGAAAGGTAACTTTATTTGGGGTTTTAAGTGCTTGAAAGTGGAAACATATGGGATACTATGAATCTTGAAAATGGGCAGCAAAATGAAAGACTTTTGGGTGTTGGTTTGATGCTCGAAAATAGCCAATGTTTTGGCTTAGTTGCTGTCACGAAAATTCCCAGCAAAAAGGGTAAGAAAAAGTGGTTTAGCCACTATTTTGAGTCCTTATTTTAGTGTAGCATAACAACTAACTTCCAGGGATATTTGGAGGTGAAAATATCAAGCAAAAGGAAGGTAAAAATAGGTGACAATTATGGCTGAAAAACCGAGGGACAATAGACTCTTTTTGCTCACGGTTTTGGTGGATTTGGAACGAAGTTCATGTGGCTGAAATATGATGAAGATTGAGAGCGTTTCTATGGAGAGTTTGCTGGAAAATGGAGAGAGAGAGAGAGAGAGAGAGAGAGGAGTTTGAGATTTATAGGAGAAGAGGGAAGAAGATAAGAAGGAATCTTTACTAAGATTTGATGTGATCTTAATATGATTAGATTTGATTTACACTTGCCACTTGATCTCTTGGTTAGTTAAGGATAGAACTTAGGTAACTAACTAGTTACTAGTTAGTTATTAGTTGAATGTTATAGTTTAGGAGAGGGAAAGAGTAAATCTCGAAAATTAGAAGAAGTATTAAGATTATTTTTCAATTGTCTTAAGTGATTAAGTACTTACTAGATAACTTGGCACTTCTCTTAACCATTTCTCTTATCTTATTGAGTTAGACATAATATTTCTTACATGAAATCACTTTAAGCCATGAACCCATAACTAGTCATTTCCTAGATAATAATACATATGTATATATACATACATGTATTGTTGGTACAAAATAACAATGTAGTTTTTATGTATTTGAACTTAAATGTTTATGTTTGATTCTTTTATTTGTAAACATGTAGACACATTTTAATTATGCCTTATAATAATCCATTTTATATTTTTATCAATTAAATATAAATTTTATTGACCAAGGTATAATTTTGTGACATTTAACCGATTAAAAGTATCGTTAACCACGTTTCGTCACTTCGGTTCGTATAATTTTCAAATTCCGATCATTCACAACTATTAGGCACAAGTTTTATATAGAATTTAAATTACTCATCAACCGGGGACGTGTTGATACGGTAATTAAATTTCACGTTTAAATGACGTTATTTGCTAACTTTCACAAACCAGTGTTGGTTCGTAGTTA